TTTCTTGGGCAATCTCATACTTTTTCTACTACTACAATCATGGTTTTACTAAAAGACTTTATGAAACTGGAAAATTTTAATTGATTTTAAGAAAGAATCGTGATATAGGATTCAATGAGGTAAAGTTTTATTTTTCTTTTTATTTTATTTTGATCAAGTACAGTTCATTGGTTATTTATTGAAGTATTAGAGATTGTTTGTTCTTACCGGTGCGTTTTTGAAGAGTACTTATCCAGATTGTGAAACATGAGGAACTCTGTCTCTTTAGAAGAAGGACAAATAAAAATATTTGATATTCAGAATATTTGTTCAACTTGTAAGTATTTCCTAACACATATTAATTTCCTCTTTATGTGATTATTAGATTTAGATATTCATTTTTAGTTGTAGTTACTTTGTAAATGTATATTTCCATCTGAAACTTATAGTTATTTCAACTTAGGAAAAATTGGCGGATCTACCTAAAGGTTGACATGCGTTGTCAATTTTACCCTATCTCTTTCGGTTAGCCAATATTACCCTAAGCTATCCAACCGTTAGCTGTTTTTGTCCAATTTGTCAATTTCTGTTTAAATTAACGGAATTCCTTTAGTTTTAATTACAAAAAATATCCTAATAGTTTTGAACCCAAAAATTTGTAAAAATAACCAAACAGTCTTTTTTCACTTTTTATTTAATTTTTTATGTTTTCTATTTCTTTTCACTATTTCTCATAACTAAAAAATATATTATATAATCTTTAAAAAAAAAGCTATTTATTTTTAAAACACTATTTTGCAAATTTATAGATATGCATATTCGTAACTCATGGTTGATTTACAGTAATGATGTTATTTTTTTTAATCTATTTTTTTTCAATCTAAAAAATAAGATTATTTAACTAAACCTAATTTTTCACAAAAAATAAAACATTTAGCATAGATTAAATTTTTTTATTGTTATACTTTAATGTATTATTACAATATAATTTAACAGAATTTAGATTGTATTGTAAAATTAAAAAAATAATTAAACTAAAATATACATTTTCTTTAAAAGGCCAAGTACAAACAGAAAGTAAAAAAAAATGGTACAAAATACTTTATAAAAAATATGTATATTTATCATTGCGAGAGTTTAACATTTCGTGATAATTTTTTTGAGATATTAACATCTAACTTTAGCAGAAATTTTTTTTAATAATAATAAAAAAAAATCTGATCCAATACTGGACTCCACCTTTAAAAGAAAAAAAAAAGATCACTCCAGTGAGAATTGAGGCCTCGAACACAGTAATAATCATCTCCCATCTTAAATCACCTGACTATCCAACTTAACCATCTCACCTTTAGTAAACCATGCATAAATGTGGATAAAATCACTCTCCCGATTAAAAATCCTTGGTGAGAATTAATCTTATATCTACTATCATGAAGCTCAACACCCTAAACACTAGATTGTACACTATATTTTAGTTTAGTAATTTTTTGAATTGTATAATACAATCTATAGTTTGTTTATTCAATTTGTAATAAATTAAAATGTACTGATATATTAATTTTTAATCTATGCTAAATGTTTTACTTTTTTGTAAAAAATTGGTTTTAAGTCAAAAAATATTATTCTTTAAATTGGAAAAAGGATTAAAAAAACTAATATCATTATTGTCAAATTATATTATTAAAAAATTAATATGTTTATGTAAATCAACCATGAGTTACAAATATACATATCTATAAATTTGCACAGTAGTGTTTAAAAATAAATAGCTTTTTCTAAAAGATCATATAATATATTTTTATAGTTATGAGAAATAATAAAAATAAATAGAAAACAGAAAAAATTAAATAAAAATTGTAAAAAGACTGTTTGGTTATTTTTACAAATTTTTAAGGTCTTTTTTATAATCTTCAAAACTATTAGTGTGTTTTTTATAATTAAAACTAACAGAATACCGTTAATTTAAACGGAAATTCACCAATTGAACAAAATCGGCTAACGGTTGGATAGCTAAGGGTAATATTGGCTAATCGAAAAAGAATAGTGTAGAATTGACAACGCATGTCAACCTTTGGGTAGATCGGCCAATTTTTCCTTTCAACTTAATATACTTTGAAATAAATTTGTTAAATATCTAGTTAAAATCCTTGATTATTTTTCGTTAAGATTGTGTAAAAAAGATTCAAGATTTAAAGAGCAACCATTACAAAATTCATTTATTAATGACCGATCTAATCCAAAGATTTGATGTAAAATTTGTTAAGATGAGACCTTACTAGAGAAAATCCAAACTGAAAGCTAATAAGCATAAAGACACAACCGGCTCAAGAATTTAGTCAAAGAATTTGAGATTTTTCTACTTGCAAAATAGTCTCTATTTATAAAAGCACATGGGGTTCCCAAAACTTATTATTGGTGATGACACTTGGATATTGATCTCCATCTCCTTCCAATATAGATGTTGGATTTTTTATACTCCCCTACAAGATTAATGTATCTTTGGGTTGGGTTTGACTTTTGTTAAAGCACAACAATTCAGAATGTATCGAATTTCATGATTATGGATAATTTGGAAGTCTTGATGTTCTCTACTAATACAATCATGACTTTACTAAAGGAGTTGATGAAGCTGGAAGATTTAATTACTGTGAAGAAAGAATCATTGAAATAGGATTCGATGAGGTAAAGTTTTATTTTATTTTTTAAAAAATTTCAATCAAGTATAGTTCGTTGGTTATTTACTGAAATATTATAGGTTGTTTGTTCTTACTAGTGTGTTTTTGAAGAGTACATATCTAGGTTGTGAAACATGAGAACTCTGTTTCTTTACAAGAAGGACAAATAAAAACTTTTGATGCCCAGAATGTTTGTTCGACTGGTAAGTATTTCTAGAGACATATTAATTTCCTCTTTATGTGATTGTTGAATTTAGATATTCATTTTTATTTGTAGTTATTTTGTAAATATATATTTCAATCTGACACTTATAGTCATTTCAATTCAATATATTTTGGAATAAATTTATTAAATGTCTAGTTCAAATCCTTTATTATTTTTTTGTTAAGCCTATGTAAAAAGGATTCATGATTTAAAGAGCAACAATTGCAAAATTCATTATTAATGACTGGTCTGATTCAAAGATTGATGTAAAAGTTGTTAAAATAAGAACTTAAGAGAGAAACCCAAATTGAAAACTAATAAATATAAATACCCAACCTCAGACTCATTTAGTCAAAGAATTTGATTCTTTCCCACTTGTAAAATGATCTCTATTTATAAAAGTCCATAGGGTTCCCAACACTTATTGTTGGTAATGACAGTTATATATTTATATCCATCTCCTTCTAACATAGATGTTGGATTTTTAATACTCCCCACAAGATCAATGCATTTTTCGGTTGGATTTGACTTTTGTTAAAGTCCAAGCACCATCTCATATCTTTATTAAAGTTCCTACCAATACAACACTACATACACTGACTCTATCACCATGAGCAATGATGTCCCAAACATTCAGACACACTAGCCCACTACGAAAAAATCCCAAATTCACCTTCCGAGTCTCCAGATCACCGGAACACAACAAATGGAACTAACTTGTCAGATTTTACAATCTCTACTAATGCAAAAGCACTACCATTATATTTTGTCACTGCGAGCACCGATGTCCCAAACATTTACACACACTGACACATCGCAAAAAACTAACAATTCGCCATGTGGGTATACATGGAAATGACCACACAAAAGGGATCTAATTTCACAGAAATTAGAACCCCTACCAACACAAAAACACTGCCATTATATTTTATCACTGCAGGCACTGAACATTCATACATATCTACACATTGCGAGAAACTCACAATTCGCCTGCTACACATATAGGAGAGCGACTCAAACAAAAATGGCCCAACTTAAAAAAAAAAAAACACAACTCCTACTGACGTCAAGCCATTAACATCATGTTACGTCACCACATGCACCAACAGAAACCATAACACACACACACACAGATATACCCCAAAAAGACGTCATTCCAACACTTCGAATAGCCCACCGCAACCCAGAAAACCTAGGGTATTGAGGGTATTTGCATCCTTGACCAACAACATGCCACCTCCATTATAGTTTATCATAAAGAGTAAAAGAAAAAAAATGTTGGGTTACCAATTACATCGGGCCCCACCTCCATTCTTATTTGACATTTATGAGGGCGATCACATTTTCGCAATAACCCTTACCTAACATGGGAGTGCCGTAATTATATTTTGATACCGCGAGCACTAACGTCCGAAATTTCACGAACACTGACACACCGTGAAAACACGCAATTACCCTCTTAAGTATATAGGTTAGTGATAAAAAAAAAAAAAAAAGAAGGTAAACTGATTTTTTTTTTTATTATTTTTAGGTGAATTAATCCACGTGCATCAAACAAAAAGTCAATGATGGAATTGACGTTGTAATTCTATTTGGTATGTAATAAGGATAAACAATAAATAAAATTAATTTCATCATTCTTGAAAAATAAATTAAAAAAATCATCTTCATTCTTTTTTTTGGGTATATTTATTCATCTCATGTCTGAAATTATCATTATGACTAATCCAGATTTGAGTCAAGTAGGTCTTTTTCGGGACACAAGCTTCTCCCAACAAATATTTTAATATATCATATTCATGCCCATGTTTAAAATCATCTTCATGCAATATCTAGTAAAACTAAATGGAAGAATAAAATGTATCAAAAACTGATTTTTAATTTTTTTTTTTTTAAAAAAAACATTCCTCTTTATCTCATTGTTCGTCGAGTTTACCAATCTATGATGAAATCGTTGGTAGCTCAGTATAATTAACAAAGAAAAAAGTATCAGATTGGATAAAGTCATCATTTATTTTTTCTCTGTTTATAAGATTTGAAATTTCTTTCTTCAAAATTGAAACATATATTGTTAGAAAATGATATTTATAGTGATAAATATATAGTGAACAAAAATAATCACGGATATGTCCCCAATCTTTGTTGATCTTTTGCCGTAGAAACTTTTTTTTCCCCCATAAAAAATTTAGGTTTTTGCTCTTAGTTATAATCTAGATGAGTATATAATTTGAGTTTTCATTATATTTTTCACTAAAAATGATTTTGGTTTTACCATGTAGAAACGCGGGAACAAATTGGGTCCTTAATTTTTGAGACACTTTTTTAATTCCCGTCATCATTTTTTGGCCGCTAAACTTTGGCGGTTCATCTGGCTACTTTCACTTCCATCAAAACCTCCTCCAAAGGGTTTCTTCGTACGGAATTTTAAAGTCTGTATAAGAATACCAGTAATTTATGATAAAATCTGCCGGTTTTGCTCAATTCCAAAGCTTTGCACTCCTCAGAAGGTACTGCCTCCTGCATCTTACACATGCATGAATTCAATAGCCCTCATTTCGTTTTATTTCGTTTTTGTTCTGGCTTTTTGTTCAAGGACTTTGGGAAAGTTGAAATTGATTCGATCTGATTTTTTTTTTTTTTTTACTGTTAATGTGATAGGTTTGCTGTGAATGTAAAGGGTTCTAAAGTTGATTATTTGAGGTTTAAGAAGATGGGTTCTAAGAGGCTTCTCTCCAAATCATCATCTGCTGCGGTGAAATTAAGTGACCCGGTAAGCATTTGGTTCAATTCATGCTCTAGTTCATTACTCTATTATTTCATTTCTACAATGCATCGAAGTAAGCCTTTTAGGAAGGAAGAGATGGAGAATCTCCTACAATTTACTCAAATTTTCGATGATTTTTGGATGTCTCAAGTGCAAATACAGCAAGACTTTTTATTTTCATGAGTTTCCTGATTGTAGTAACATACTAATTAACCAGTTGAAATCTGTATTGGTTATATAAACATAATAGCGTTGATGAAGTGTTGACATTTCAACTTCACTTTTCGAAATGGAGCAATATTTTTTGTTGATGAAGAGTTTATTTTTAAAATTTTTGGAACCTTTTTTGCTTCATCATAGGAAGGTGATGTGGATGACGGTGGTGGTAGAAAAGAAATGCTCAAGATTGATGCAGATGAAATAGAGAAAATGACAGTCAAACAACTACGAGTTAAACTAAAGTAAGCATATCTTTATCACATTTGTCATCATGTCATGTCCTTGCCTATGTCTTTCTCTAATTTTGCAAACATAGTAGAGAATTTGAGTTTTAGATAGCATTTGTTTCTCGCCCTAAAAAAATTTGCAATTTGAGCTGTGGAAGAAACTAAAAGGTTGACTGGTGCACATTTTATATTTTTCAATTATCCATGAAAGCAGAAACAATCTATTATCTCTAGCGTTCTTGAACTCTTTTTTCTATTTGTGAGGAAAGTATTCTTAATGTATTTGTTCTTATGGCTTGACTAGTCAGATACTGGTAAGTGCATAAAAGCATTCCATGACTGATGGAGCATTTTGTGAAACTGAAGATGAGAAATCAACTTGAAGTTTGTTTTTTGTTTTTTTCATGTCTATAAATTTAAATTAGATGGGTGCGGCATTCACATATTTATTGGTTCAGTTCTCTAGTTGAGGTCTCCTTTTCTTGTAATTGTTGTTTTATTCTTTTAGAGGCTGATGGTTGTGGCTACATCTGTCTGTATTTTTGTGCTGTGAGGAGCAAGAGATAGAGAGAGAGGGAAGCAATTTAGTAATATATGGCCAACCAATGATATAGTATTAACCGTCATGTATTTATATGTTGCATGTTCACTCTTTCGCTACAGACTTTAGGCTTTAAGTGAAGTTGAGTTTGATTGTTTTACCCTGCACACCACTTCATGTGAAAGGAAAAAGAAATCTCAATAACGATCTTGTATATATCCTGATATGTGGATGTTGTTTGAAAAGTTTGTGTTTTGCGTTCTTTGTGGAATTGATTTTTATATAAGATCAACTTTCTGGATGTTCTGCCAATAGAATTTCTTTAAGACAAATTGTGTCTTCTCTTTCTGGAGAATATGAATTTGTGCCTACGGTTAAGGGATGACTACTCACTGGTTGCTCCACTGGATCTTATTCTTTTTTTTTTTTTCATTGGTGTAAATTGCCATATAGGGATGTGGGAGTTCCAACCAAAGGTTCAAAGAGTGAACTTGTCTCTGCCTGGATGAATTTTTTGAACAAGCAAGTAGATGGTATGTTTCCTTCCTTGTAAATATCTATGTCAGTATGTTGTTATCTCTTTCTTGTGGTACTATTTCTCCCACTTTCTTGGTCTTTGATTTTTGACTCAATTTGTGACGCTTGAATTTTCGTCTTCCCCCGGCAGATCCGGTGTCATCTCCAGTCATACCTACAAAAAGCTATGTTGAAAATGTTCCAGATGAAAAACCTATTTCAGAGATTTCTCAACTCAAAAGGGCCAAGAGAAAAGCTGCAGAACTCCTTGCTGGGGACAACAATGTTGAAATTAAGAATATGCAATCCATCATGCAGCAAGAGCAATCTCTTGAATCTTCTAAGTTGACAGGTGGATTTATTAGCTATTTTCTTTTTGTTAATAAAATTATGAAGGTGGACATAAATGTTGTTATTTATACATTTCAGTGGAACTGAATATAGCTTAAATACCATGGATGATATCTTAGGAACAAAATCAATTCAGAAAAAAGGAAAAGCCTTGTTAGAAGTTACTTACTCGAAGATTGAAAATGCTCAATCTCTCTATTCTTCTGGAGAACCTTGGGCAGTTCTTGCTCATAAGAAGCCTCAAAAAGGGTGGGTGGCTTACAATCCAAGGACGATGAGGCCACCTCCTCTTACTAATGATATTGAGCATGTCAAAATAATGTCCTGGAACGTGAATGGGTTAAGAGCTTTGCTAAAGTTAGAGGACTTCTCTGCCCTGCAACTCGCTCAAAGAGAGGATTGTGATGTGCTGTGCTTGCAAGAGACCAAACTCCAGGCAAGTTATTGCTTACTTACATTCGATAGGAACTAGAATCGATGTTGAAGTATTATGTTGGTGGGTCATGTCCTCCAGGCCTTTTGTCTTGTTAACCCATTCGCTCTTCCTGATGGAAATATATTGTTTTTTTTTTTTTTAAAGATGCATCAGCTTTCAGAGGGAAGTTGTCTTAATTTTTTTTTTTTCTCTATATCAGTTTCCCTAGTTATCGCTTTTGGCGGTTTCCATATGTATGCCTCTTTATTATTTTTCTTTTTTTAAAAAAAGAATAGACATATTATACGATCACGAGAAATGACTTATAGATGATCATGGTCATTCTATTTTTGACATTATGTCCAAGTTGTAACAGACAAAATTTATCAAATTTCAAATTATTATATGTATTCTCTTAGGCAGTAGCTTGTTATTTTTTAGTCAATGACACTTTCAGTGTTTACACTGTCAATTTTCTAGACTAAGGCCAAAGTGTTTCAAGTAACTGGTATGATTTGATTTGTTTAGTGATTGGGTTCTTTCATGGAATTAGGAGAAAGATGTTGAGGCGGTTAAGACTCTCCTTGAAGGTTATGATAATAGTTTCTGGACATGCAGTGTTGCAAAGCTTGGGTACTCTGGAGCCGCAATCATTTCACGGGTATTTTGGTCCTCTCTGATTTGCCACCCTGATATCTTTGTAACTATTAACATGCTTATTTTGTGTATCCTGTCAAAAAGCATCTGTGACTCTTGTTCTGATCTGCATTTTCTGTGTTTTTTTTCAAAAGTTTTACTCTCTTACTTTGATACATGAATTTACAAGTTTATTTATTTGCTGTTGTTGTTTTCGTGAAGATGGTGCTCGAGCTGAATGTTCTTTCACATCACTATGCAAAAGCAGCTTGCATCACCCCCTTAAGTCATAGATATTATAACCATTGGTTAACATGCATGCATATACATGCTGTTCCTCCTTGCTAACATGGTTTTTGGCTTTCCCCCGCCCTTCCAATCTGACAGATAAAACCACTTTCTGTCAGATATGGTATGGGAATATCAGATCACGATGCTGAAGGGCGGCTTCTGACTGCAGAGTTTGACAAGTTCTATTTGCTATGTGGATATGTGCCTAACTCCGGTGATGGTCTGAAGCGACTGGTAATTTATTCTGAAACTTCTTCTAGCTGTTTTTCAGCACTATTATAGTTTCTTCAAAGGAAGTGAGTTGACAACTCTCCCATCCTTAGTCATACAGAATAACGCATTGGGATCCCTCTCTCAGCAACTATATGAAAGTAAGTATTTTGTCCATATCATCTTCTGCGACCCATCTGCGATTATATTTCTGTTCCATTGTTTCGTAAATACTTGCTTGAAGAATTTGATGGGACGCTGACTAGATCTAAAAACCTTATAAATGCCTGTTATTGATAGAGATTGAAATAGGTGATATTTAAGTTTTAACAGCTTCACCAGTGTATTTTAGCTGCAAAACTGTAGACATGGATCTGCCAGATCCTGAAGGGTAAGAGGTTAAGAAGGAAATTATACTTCACGATGTGAAAAGATAGTTTCTAAATGAAACCTGGTGGCTGGTGTAGTTCAGAATTCCAACAAATGAAGTGGTCTCTCATTGGTAATAAAGCATAGTCAGAATTCCTGCTAATGCAGTGCTCTCTCATTGAAGTGCTTATTACGTTTTGCCTTACTTTTCTTTGGTTGAATTTTACCTGGGTTTGGCAGTCATTACAGGTTTTCTTAACTTAATTTTTCAAAAACTGATCAACTTGCTCTTAATGAATGAGATCATTGGAATTTTTTTCTCGTGATGTCCTTTACCTGTATTTGGTTCAACTATTTATTTCTTTGCTTTTAGTTTTATATTTTCCTATAGCTCTTGTACTTCCTTGAGGATTGTATTTGGTATTCTGATCTTCGTTCTGCTTGGTAAAATTTACGAAACTTGGTTTGTGAATTGTGAACAATGTTTGTCTAGAACCACATTTTATGTTTTCTTCTTCTTAGGTTTTTTCCATTGAGTTAAAATGGCTGTCTCTTCTTAAATTTGCAGGAACTTGAAAAAACAAAACCTGTTATTTTGACGGGGGATTTGAACTGTGCTCATGAAGAAATTGACATTTATAATCCTGCTGTAAGTTCTTTCTGTTTTCTGTTTGTTATATCTGTTATTGGAGTCTGGAACAAGAAAGTTGTGGCACGCCCCACTTTTAACGTTATCTTTATCTTTGTGATGCATGCTTGTTCCTTTATGGATAACATTTACTATATTTATGGCTATGCACTTTTGAAGCCAGATTTTAGATTCAAAATGATCTGAAAACAGACAATAAACATTGAAGAACTCTGGAAGCCTTTAATGCTATTCTTCGATTTCTATATCTTCATCGCCATATTTCAAATGTTGTGTTATGAATTTGTTCAGTAGTTGTGTTATTAAGGCTTGATAGTGTTATTGTGTCTACAATTCTTTTTTTCAGTTTCAGCATCTGACTTTAAGTTATTTCCTTCAACTGTAATGTTGCACTATGGTGCAGGACATTGACAAGAAGCTCTCTGCTCAATCTTTAGTTAGTCCTCACAGTTCCCCAAATAGCAAAATTTAAGATAATAAATGAGGTATGAAGCTAATGATATCTAATAAAATATAATTTAACAGGTCATAAGTGGAAGGGACTAGAAATTTAGAGTTGTAAAAGGAGAGGGGAGATGAAATCAAGGGAACCCAGGATAGAGTTTATCTTCTTAGTCACAAATTTGTATTGTTTTAAGTTGGAGCCTTACCGATGAGACAAATATTAAAAGTATAAGTTGGGACCTATACGAAGGGAAATATCATAGCAAAATAATCACCGTTACGTTGCGGTATATGTATTTTGCAATGGACAAAAACATATTCCAAATAAATAATCTTTCCGGCAATCTTGAAGGAATCATGGATTTGTATTCTTGTACTTCTTGAATTATTTTTTCCCATTGTAATTATTGTCAGTTTTAATAGATTCTGTGATGTGCCTTTGAGTGCAGCTTATGTAGGAAATCTGGGAGAAATAACTGTTGACTAGAGTTATGTAACATAGATCTAAAAACTAAGTTCGATTTGAATAGCAAAAAAAGGCAATTTGGATTGAAAAATCTGAATGATTTAACAAGCAAGGAGTTCCCAAATGCCCATATAGGTCTACTAGAGAAGGCTATCAGATTGTTCACTTTCGAGAAATTGGTGCCAAGAAATTTTCATGTTTTGCTTAGCTGGTGATTTCTCTGATTTTGGAAGTCAATTGCTCATCAGTGAGCCTTGGAAAGCATGAGTATCAGTCTCCGGAACTAAATAAATAATCGCTGTTACTGTGGATGCACTAGAGAAACTGAGAGGAAAAGTAGGACTAGAACAACTACCTAGCAATATGCTTCTCTAAGTCGTTCATAAACCATGGCATTTTAGTTATTTCTTCTTCAATTTTTCCTCATATAAGGTCAGACACTAAGATCTTGATTACTTAAAAAGTATCGGACACTGAAAGGATAATGCTAACTTTTTGGTGGTCATTAGTTTATCTGTGATTTTCATTTGTTGCCTCATTTTATAGGGAAATAAGAGAAGTGCTGGGTTCACGATCGAAGAAAGACAATCCTTTGAGTCTAACTTCTTGAATAGGGGTTTTGTGGACACCTTCAGGAGGCAGCATCCTGGTGTTGTTGGTTATACTTATTGGGGGTATAGGCATGGTGGACGCAAGACAAATAAAGGTATCCCTTTAATTTGTTACTGATAAACTTCTGTGGAGAAATTTCTGCTAGTTCTTATTGTAAAATTCATAAGTGACAAAATTTGACATGAATTAGATTTTCTTCCTGTTGGTGACTTTTGACCTTTTCAGAAAGTATATGGACATATGGTTATTAGTTGATCTGTGTTCAAGTTGATAGTATCCTCTTTTAATGTGGCGTGGTTGTTCAATACCATCACAATGCTGAAAACAAACCTTTGTTACAATTGAACGGCAAAGAAGTTGTGGATTTGTTAAATGAAGAAAGTGAGGATGTCGATATGAGTCTCCAGATGGTGATCTTTTGTGCTTACAGGCGTAAAACTGCTTCATTAATATATTTCTCCCTTTTTTTTTAGGGAAAAAAAAAAAAAAAACATTTGTATGCACAAGTCTGTCACCAAAAGGGATAAGGCGTTGCTTTTTCCTTTTTCTTTAGAACATACACTTAGTGATCTTACATGTATAGGTTGTCCTCCAAATCTCTTAGGGATAGACTATAATCTTCACTGTCCGTTCGTATTTGCATTACTTCTGACAGAGTATTTTCAAATGCCTCTTGCATTTAAATTTGGACAATTTATTGATTCATGGTGGGATAATCACAAGCGGCACATTTTCTCTGTTTTTTTTGGAAATAATACACAGGGTGGAGGCTGGATTACTTCCTTGTGTCGGAATGTATTGCAGACAAGATCCATGACTCGTATATTCTCCCGGACATTGCTGGGAGCGACCACTGTCCTATTGGTCTTATTGTGAAACTCTAGGACAACCTGGCGATTTCCTGGCATACTATGATGGTAGAAGGTTAGCATTTTGGTAAGGAATGTTTTGTTCTAGATACGCTGATAATTCTCCTCGGTCGGAAATGGAAAAAAAAAAAAAAAGAAGTTATATTAGCGAATCGAGTAGTATGATATGTAGTAGTCTTCCGTATAAAATAAAACAAAAGAAATCCACGATCTGTATCTGCCCGAAGTACGTATGAAACCCGAACCACCCCCAAACCGCTGCGGAGATCATGTAGAAGTAGAACCCTAGAACATATGGAGGGATTCAACTATCTGCCAGAACATACATCTTCATGATGATCATCCAAAATCTAGGCAGTCAAAATTCAGCTGCGTTTCAAAATAATGGCATGTTTCTGATCCGAAACCCGAATTTTGGTCACAGCACTTCAACAACCCCAACAAAAGCCGTCAAGACATCCGTGTGATATTCCTCTGGTGGTGGTCGAAGAACAACATCGACAGAGGGGTGCGACGAGTTATTTCTGAAAAAAAAAATTTAAAAAGAGGCTCGTGTGTGTATCGATCTCTAACAAGAGTATATGGTGCATTACAGAGAAGAATAAATGAACACCGGGATAATAAGACTTCAGAGTCCGAAGGTGAAGGAAACATGGATTAATTAGTTCAGCTGTTTCCTTGTTCTTTTAAATGTCCAATTAAGTCAGTTTAACTACGAAAAGTATTTCTGAAAACCACTCAGAAACGGCAGCTGTACTAAAATGGAAATCAAAGGAACCTTGGTCGATGAGACAATGTCTTATGGTATAGTTTAGTCATATATGCCTTGTAGTTTTGTACCAAAATAAAGATGCAGCATATTCTTAAAAGATTTGAGGGTTTATTTCATATGCTTTCCGCGTCTTATAAAAGTAGTTCGTCTCGAACAATTTGATGAAGATTATTTTTCTAAAACGTAGAAATTATGAATATATCAGTTATTATTTCCGTATTCTTTTAATGTGCCTATCGTTATCAGTTTTGATGGCAAACAGTACATCTAAAACTACTCAAAATACAAGATGTACATATCTTCCGGGGGTTTAATCCATATTTGTTTAGTTATTATGCTCATCCGAAATTGTCAACCACCACCAAGCATCCATCGCAAATAGATTTGCTATTGATAACATTTTCATGTGTATTATATGACCCAACGAGCTTGAAAACTATTAATGAACCTTGAAGAGATTCAAATTCAAGAATTCTTGCATTGAATTGGGACCAAGAATTCGAATTGGAGCTTTCTAATTCCAATTCTTGTGTTTGGTTGCTAAAAATAGAGGTCCAAAAATTAGAATTATAATTCAAGATGGGGTTCAATTCTTTATTTTCAATTCTTTTGTGGGAGCAAATAATTGGAATCCAAATTCAAGGGACTTAAAAAAGGGACGCGGGTCACAACCAGGTCGTTTCCGGGTTATAACATAAACGGGTCGCCTTCTCAATTTTTGCCTTTGACGTTTTTTTTTTAAAATTTTTTTTATTTTTAAATTTTTTTTCGGAGCTTTCATCGCTTTGCCGCTTCCTTCTTTTCTTTGGTTTTCTTTTTTTTTTTTTGGTCTCTTTCTCTCATTATTATTATTATTATTATTATTTTATATATATCAATTAATAATTATGAACGAAATCAAACTAAAATTAACATTGTATTTTTTCACAAAAAAAATCAAAAGTATAGCTGTATCCAAAAAAAAATTATTAACTAAATATTTTAGTTTTAGGTTAAAATTTTTATTAAATTATGACATAGTAAACAATATAACATTTTCAATTTTTTTTATAGAAATTTGTTCCCTATATACACCTATAGTATAATATATATATATATATATATATATATTTTAAACTATTCATGGTATCTTTTCTCCAAAAATTATGTAAGTTGAGTTTTAAGTATGTATTATTTCATTTATAATTATATACTAAAAATAAAAAAATTTAAGCATATATTATATACTAATTTTAATCTATGTATAAATAAACCTTAATATTCATAAACTAAATTTACAATGTTATATAATAAATTTTTTTAAATTTTTTATATAAATCAAAACATCAAAAATTAAAAATTTTGAAAAATAATAAGAGATGAAACCAAAGATGTTTCACATTTTACTTATTTGTGTATTAAGCGAGAATTTTAAGTCACAATATTTCTTTTGTTTCTAACAAAAATGTGTACATAATAAATTAGAAAACTGATTAGCAAATTAATTAAAAACAATAATTTGTTTTAACAAAAAAAATAAAAATTTTATTAGTTAAAAAATCACAAAGTAGTCAAATGTACATGTACACAATGAATTTATTTATTTTTTTGTGTTATACATATCCATAATAAATTAAGGCTTTTTTTAATTTTATTTTTTGACAAGAAGTATAAATTGTATTATTATTAGTTATACAATAAAAAACTAATTTCAATTCTAAAGTATCCAATTTTTTATGCATCCAAATGCAAGAATTGGAATTAAAATCTTAATTCTAGTAAATTTTCAAGATCTCCCAAACAAAGAAATTGAAATTAAATTACAATATTAATATCTCATTTTCAATTCAATAGTATTGTAATTCCAATTCAATTGCAATTCAATCTAACCAAACGGAGCCTAATACTACTTTCAGTAAGTCGTCTTGTGCAGTGTGCACCATAGTTTTTCATTAGTTTCCAAGACAAACTAGTTTATTGGCATAATCGAGTAGTACAATCTTAGGCAGTCATCCAAAACATTATTCATAAACTGCTGCATGGAATATACTTACAACCTCATTATTCATAAACTGCTGCATGGAATATTCTCTAGATTTCCTTTTTCAGACCATCCAACCAGGGTAGCAATTTTGATCAAATCAGATGTTTTGGATTCAAATTTTCATGACTAAGATTTAGATTTGAAATGTCTTTGAACCACATTTCTGAAAACAAAATAGGTTTTTTTTTTTTTTTTTGAAAAGAACAAAGCAGATTTAGGAAAAAAAAAATCCAATTATTATTACAAGTAAACTTCTGATATAAAATAGTTAAGTAAATACTCATGTGACACATAATTAAATTAATATCTCATTTCACCTGTTCATTTTCACTATGTAGAAAATTTTATTACTCTTTTCGTGGGAAAAAAAAATTCACATTGATCTGAAACTCAATTGTGCTAAGGCCACGAAGCAAGAAGATTCAAATTGTTAAATGGAAGCCACCAGATTCAGGAGAGTACGTGTTAAATACAGACGGCTCAGCATTAGGGCAACCAGGTGAAGCAGGATGAGGATATGTTTTGCGAGGTGATAATCGGCTAATTATTGCAGCTGAAAGCAGATATATGGGCGTAGCAACAAGTCTAGAAGCAGAACTTGCAGGGGTATATCATGGTCTGGAAGCTTGCTTGGAGAAAGGACTACTACGAATTGAAGTGCAAACGGACAATAAGGTAATCGCACTTTGTCTCCAAAAATGAATGAGTTTTCCATGAAAATTCTCTCATGTTTTCCGAGAAATAAAATACATGTTGAGCCTATCACATTCAAGAATTATTCATATTTTTCGAGAGGCAAATAGTGTGGCAGATGATCTTGCTAAGAGGGCTTCTGAGGGAGCCACTAGGAAATATGATTGTCCATTAGACACTCCAGTCTCAGTAAGAGGGAAAACTCATTTGGATAGACTATCTGTTCCCTATCTCAGATTCCGATAACTAGGGTTTTAGTCACCTTAGGAAGGAAAAAAAAAAAAAAAAAAAGTTAGATAGTATCTAGATCTTCAGGAAACCTAGATGGAGTTGCCAGGGGATTTATGTTTATAATCTTTGTCAGGCAAGCTCCTAGGAACCTAGATAGAAAAAGTAAACTGTCAGGGGATTATAGTTTTATCTTTGTAAGACAGTTCCTAGTGTAATTGTACAAGAATCGTCATAGGTTTTATTAGAAAACTTTGTAAGACGGTTCTTTTTCGTTTGGGTAAGTCTTAAGCACTACCTTCTGTAACTTTTGCTTTTAATTAATAAAATCGGGGTCCTCCCGCCAGCTATCGCCCTGGATTCTCCTAAAAAAAAATAATCATTTATTATAAAATGCAGGAAATATTTATTTATTTATTGATCAATATAAACAAAGCTATTATTATTAAAGAAAAATAATATGTATAATGAAAAAATAGTGAAATAAAATAGTAACTAATGTAGGACTCTCGTATTTTTTTGACATTTTCGAGTTAAAATTTTACTTTTTCTCTAAAATTACATTTTCATTCATAATTAATAAATACACATAGTGGGGAGGTGTATATTAAAACAAGGCAGCCAATGAGCCAATATTGAAATCAAATTGAAATTTTCTGAAACTTGAAGCTGGAGTTTCGATCAACGGACTTTTGCCACCTCAGAGAACCTTGTGCCATTGTGACAACTTTATCCGACGTGTCGAAACATCATTGGTCCAGGGCATCTCATTCGTCGCCAACTATAAATCCCGCGGCTCTCCACCTTCGCTCCGCCGTGCAGAAAATCTCACACACAGACACACAGTGGTCATGGCCGCTAGGAAAAGAGGACCGGCTGCTCAGCAAGAAACCAAGGCATCCGAACCGACCCGAAATCCACCGGCAACCAATTCCAAATCCGTCGCCGAGGACCCGCCCATCGCGCCACCGAAAGTTCTCCCCATCCTTACAATTGCGCTGTCCGTATTAATCCCCTACTGTGTAGCAATCTTCTGGTACTATGATATCGAATATGAGCTCAAGCGTCCAATTCTCATCAATGCCGTTTTGAGCCTTTTCGGGTTCTTTTTGACCCAAAGGATGATCCCGGTTGCTGCTAAGTACGTTTCGAGAAGGAATTTATTTGGGTATGATATTAATAAGAAAGGAACGCCTCAGGGTACTGTTAAAGTGTAAGTCTTTTCTTTTTGCTGGTATTGTCAATTTCATAATTTGTGTTTTAATGCAAAATCATTGCCATTTTTTTTATAATTGGAATGACTTGATCAATTCCTGATTAGTTTGTGGACACCGGAATAATGTTAACCTTCTGATTCGTGATTTAACTGTAAATAATATTTGTGAAGGTAAGCTTTTTTGTTCCCAGTGGTGCAGTTAGTTCTTGTGATAGGAACACGAATCCTTAAATCATAGATTGTGTTTCTCATGCTTAATGTAGATGTGTTTTTCCTATCACAGTATTAGCGTAAACCATGAGTAATAAGTAATTAGAGTTTGCTTTGATGTATTGGCAGGCCGGAGTCGCTCGGAATTGTTGTGGGGATTGTATTTCTAGTGCTGGGAATCTTGTTTCAATATTTTAATTTCACTGCCGATTCTAATGTAAGGACTATTTCCAATTTATTGTCATTTAAATGTTATGACTTCAGTGACCGTTTAGACTCATTGCAATCTGTCTTTCTTGTTGAAAATGCTCATGCTGATACGTGCATTTTTTGTTTTTTCTGGGGTAATGGTAAGTTGTATTGCTCAACTTCTCAAAACAGAGTCACAAATGTATACATCCGCATCAACTCATCAATAAGCTAGTAACTTAACTGCTATGCCTTACCAACCAAAATTGCAAATCTATTGTCTAATCTGTACGAACACTCGAACAAAATGAATAAACAAAAATATCCATTAGATTCAGCTTCTGTAAGTATGCGTGTTCACTAGCTTTCAACCTTGAACATATTGTGCTTGTCCTCCGTTTAACTTCTTGCATTGTTGTTCTTTGATATGTTTATTATCCGCATCATTGTAGTTTGATCTGCATTCTCCTGTCTGAATGTCCAGATTGGTTGTTCCTTGTAATCATTATCCTTGGCAATTTTTTTTTTCTCACCTCGTGTTTTCGCTTTCATATATGAGTTGGATCATCCAAAAATGGAATGGTTTAGAGGAAACAGATTTCATTATACAGCTTTCCAGAACTTATGACAACTTCGTGTCAAGAACAGAAGGAATAGGAAAGTAAATGAAATGATAGTTGTAGGAAACTGGATCCCATAAGGCATGCATGAAAGTAAATGGTACCTCATAGGGAATAAACACAATGGATATAGACCTAGGAAGGAACATCCAACTGTAGATTGCGATACTGGAGGCATAAATGTTGCTTTTAATTTCTTTTTAACTGGTTTATTGCCTCTTTTATTCTACAACTTGCTTTGCATCTAGGAATTTAAGTCTTATTTGTTTACAATTGTCTGTTTCTTTAGTGTCTTAGCTGCTTTCATTCTCAATCATGCAACTCACTAGTGTCATTTGCACTGTTGTAAGTGGCTTGTGGAGTACAATGCAGCACTAGCATGCATCTGCTTTATGATCCTGCTTGGATTTGTGGATGATGTCCTGGATGTACCCTGGAGAGTGTAAGTGATCAGTCATCTTAGAGCTTTTCATTTGAGAGAATTCTTGCCTTCACTTGCTACATAGGTATCTCTAGAGATCTTGAGATTTGTCGGTCACTAATAGTCCATTTGAAGGCAGGAAGTTATTGTTGCCATCTGTTGCAGCCCTTCCTTTATTGATGGCATATGCTGGGCACACAACCATCATTATACCAAAGCCTCTGATTCAGTATTTTGGAGAGAGTATAGATCTTGGTTAGTTCTTTTCTATTTTATTAGCTTAAATTGCAGCACAGAAACAACATACTCATATTGCATCACGATCCTGATTAACTCATATTGTATCACAAATCCTGATAATGTTACTTTGTTCTCTTATCTTAGAAGTTGTTACATAGGTTCAAAGTATAATATTTTGAATGTTTCAGGATGGATTTACAAACTATATATGGGTCTTTTGGCTGTGTTCTGCACCAACTCGATCAATATTCATGCTGGCATCAATGGCCTTGAAGTTGGGCAGACAGTGGTCATAGCTTGTGCTGTAAGCAATTATGCTTTCTGTTTATCTTAATTTTGATTCATCCTGCCAAGAACACGTATTTGAGACTAAAGAGATGATGGTGATGATTATAACAGATCCTCTTACACAACATCATCCAAATTGGAAGTTCTGGAGACCCTGAGTACAAACAAGCCCATGCATTCTCCATCTATCTTGTTCAACCATTGATAGCCACTTCTTTGGCTTTGTTTTCTTATAACTGGTACTGGACGTGTCATGCTTTTCTTAGCAAAGGTTGATTTTTGGGTAGTATTAGTTAATTTTGTGGTTGTGTGTTTCAGGTACCCATCTTCAGTTTTTGTTGGAGACACATTTACATACTTCGCTGGAATGACTATGGCGGTCATAGGCATTTTGGGCCATTTTAGGTTTGTGTCTTCTTTCCATGGCCACTCCTTAAATTAGATAGTACCTCAGGTGATGGACCTTATATTTCTGCTTCAAGTTGCCTTTATGGAATGATTTTTTCACTTGATTGGGCTTTGCTAAAGCATGTATTATGGTAGGATGCACCTTGCCATCCTAGTGTCAAATGTGATCAGAATCTATTTAGTTTTTGCCATCATTTTTCAGTTTTTTTTTTTTTTTGCAATTCACTGCTAGTTTTCTTTTCATTTGAGCTCTTCATTTGCAATAATCCTGGATTTAGTAAGATCATTAGCTCAGATTTTTCTTATGATGATATAGAAATGTGCTTAAGCTAATTTGGATATCTGCGTATTAGATCTTTTGTTGCTCCAGAGAGACTAGTCGAAACATTGTATGAGTGTACATTATTTTCCTAACTTAAAGTTGCCATCGTGGAGTAATTTTTATAATTGATTGATTTTGCTAAAGCATGCATTATGGCATGAATGCATCTAGCCATCCAAGTGCGTAATGTGATCAGAATCTATTTAAGTTTTGCATTAGTTCTAATTTGTTTTTGCAAACTAGTTTTCTTTTCATTTCAGCTCTTCATTTGCAATATTCTCTGGATTTTGTAAGATCATTGGCTCGGACTTTTATTATGATATGTAGAAAAGCTCTTGAGTTAGTCTGGATATATGCGTATGAGGTCTTTTGTTGCTTCAGTAAAGACTGGTCGAAACATTGTATGAACAATTGAAATTATAAGTGGAAAAGGAAGACATTAAAAGATTTGGCATGAAACGATTGTAAAGAAGATTTATTTCCTTGGCTGACATAATCACAACATTGATCCATATAGCCGTATTCACCGAGTGGAATCTAGGTAGCTGTTGTCTGTCGAACTTTTCTCTGACATTTCGGGAATGATTTGCTGTGACCATGACTTTGTGATTAATCCTTTCCTGGTCGTTGTCTACTTTACTGAAAGCTATCAATATAAAGCAATACTATTTTCTCATGGTTTACCCATAGACATGAATAAGGTACTCATTGTTGAGAGCAAGGAAGTTGATCTTGAAACAGGAGCAATGGTTCAAACTAATCTGTAGTTTGATTTTATTTCCATCAGTGATGATTTGATATGATTATCTACAAAATTATCGTGTTCCCTTTGATATAAGGATGAGTGTTAATAGTTTTTCTTTTTTGTTGCCACTCTTTTGTTTAGCGAGGCTAACACGTACAGGTGTGATTGTAACATTGAATCTGTGTATTCCTTGACAGTATCTGTTTTACAACTGAATAATAGAGGATAAAAGTCTGAATCTAATTTGTCGCATTGTTTGGAGAATGAGAATGTTAGAACTTTATATGTTTGTGATTGTTGGATCTTTATGCTCTTTCTACTCAAGGGCTGGTATATAAGAGAAGTCTACTTTTTCTTGCATACCAAATTTTTACTTTTGTCTTTATCAAGCTAAAATTTGGTTTATATGTAATTTAAATGCTTATTTCAATATATTCATTGATTTTTTTTTTTATTCTTAACCTATTCCAGCGAGACTCTTCTAATATTTTTCACTCCTCAAGTTCTAAACTTCTTAGCCTCCCTGCCTCAGGTTTCTCTCTCTCTCTCTCTCACACACACACACACACACACACACACACACACACACACACACTAAGCATATAATCACAGTTGACAAGTGTGATCTTTCTTTTCTCAGTTGGCTGGTATAGTATATTGTCCACGACATCGTTTACCCAGGTAGGCTACTCTATTCCTGGAGGGATAGTCCTATGGATTCGAATTACATTTGCACCTCAACTTGTGTAATAACCTTGCAGGTTCGACCCTCAAAGTGGCTTATTGACTGGAACGAAAGATGGAACACTTGTGAATATATTCTTAAGATTATTTGGCAGAAGATCAGAAAAGTCCCTTTGTATTTTGCTTCTTGGTTTCCAGGTAATTTTGTTTTTCCCCTTTTCAGGAATCAAAATGGTCCAGTCACTCTTATTCTTTATTTTTTAATGTATCTGGTGGGAATTTTCCTCGTGAGCTATAACTTGAATTGAAACTTCCATAGACCTTAATCAACTGCATGTTACATATGCACCATGGACACTTTGACTGAATTTTTTTCTGTTATTATCTTTCCTTCCTATTGTAATCTTAGAAAACTTTTCCTTTGGATTGGAAAAAGAGGAAAGCTATAGCAGCACAACATTGGTATAGCCTCTTGATTTAATTGAAATTCAATATATTCGCCTAGGAAGTTCTGCACTTTATGATATTGGTTTAGGAAATTGGAGGAAATGATACCTATAACTAGGGACAGCAGAAATCTATCTTGTTTTGTGTAAAACAATCATGTTCTCTGCTCGATGTTTGCGTGGCACCATTACTAGCTGGAGTGCATGTTTGTATATTAATATTTTTGATTATTTAAGATAAGAACTCCATTGCTTTCCCATTTAATGTTGTGTATTGAACTTTTGTCCCTAATCTGGTCAGGTCATATGTTGCCTCTTCTGTTTTTTCCTAAGATGGATTCTCACCGGTTGGTATAAGTAAGCTGCGAGGTCATGTTTATGTGATTCAGTCAGTGCAAGGATTATCTTATAAAGAATGGGTTACAGTAGTATCCAGTAACTTAACATCAGAGCGCTCACCCGAGACCTGAATGTCAAGCTGGTAGGTGGCTCTTGGTACTGACCATCTTAGTTGGGGTGAAAGAAATCTTCATCTGAATTTTGTCATCACCCCATGAGAAATAGATTAAAGGGCGTGGATATTTTTTATCTTATCTTTTGGCCTTTTGGTCCTTTAATTTAGGTTATAAAGTCTTGTGTGGCCTTGGATGTGTTGATTTGAGTAGGCAAAGCAGATCTAGTTTTTTGTTGTAATTTGTAACCTAGAAAAACAAGTTGATTTAAAATAGAAGATTGTATTTTAGGGGTCTCTCTCTCTCTCTCAAAGAAAAACAATTCACATTGAAAGTATAAAAGATGAGATGCGTTTGTATTTTCATTTTGTTAAACTTTTCCCACGGTTACAATATCTACTTTTTATTGTGATTTAGGGTTGTAGCTGCTAATTCATGTGCTATGTTATGTTCTTCGTTCATTGTAAGCGAATCGATTCATTTAGGAGCACTCTTTTCATCCATAAGTGAATGATTGTTCTCTGGGCCTTCTGTATGCATAAAGACAAATATGAGTTAAATCTTTCCTTTGCATTGGAAAAAAAATTGGCAAAAAGAAAAAGAAAAACGGAAACAAAATTTGGGTACTCGGGCAAAATCATCAGCCTAAACTGAAAAGATATTACCTCTCTCAGCTCTTAAGTTTTCAATCACCAAGGAGAATCAACGTTCGGTGGTGAAAGGTCTAGACTCTAGTGCATTCATATGAAATTGAAGTTGGAGCATGTGGAATTTCTTTTGCAAGGGTTTGTCAATGGGAAGGATGAGGTTTAAACTTTGACGGAAACGATGTTGAAAAAGTAAAAAGAGGAAAAAATAAAAGGGAAATGAGAAATGCTTCTGGATTAAGCTTGTTTCACTCGACCCCGAAGACCAAAGTACTACTCCACGGCATTCAACAAACAACTCATGTAAATATTTTTTTTCTCCCAAAATGATTGTTTATTTTTATTACTGTATAATTTGAGACAGAAGGAATATCAAATTTTCAAACCCACAAAACATGAAATTTCTGCATGGCCATAATCATTTCCAATCTAGTACTCGTTGCTCATAGTAATTACTCTCTCCATTCGAAAATAAGGCTACATTTTACACATAGTTTAAGAAACTCTTAAATAAAGTAATAAAATTACGTATTAAAGAAATGTCCATCGATAGTATTAATTCTTTTAAGGATGATTTTGGAACTTTCGGACAAAAAGTGCATTGAAATGTCAGAACGATACTTATTTTGAAATTTCAATATTTTGCTAAAACGACTTTTATTTCGGAACAGGGAGAGAACTAGCTTGGTCTGCGTTATGATTTGATTTACATGCTACCGCGGGAAAAAGACTCATGCATAGTAAAGTCTTGGTTGTTTTCACTGTGCCCTTTGTCTTCTGTAATCAAAATGGTTTTTCTGACCGTCCAAGAATTTGGTAATTCTCTAAACCCATCATCGAAAGATCACTGTTTTGCACTTATCAGATGATCACTGTAGTCTCTGGCGGGCTGGCCTTGGCTTTCTAGAAAGGTTGAAAAAAAAAGAAAAGAAAGAGGGTTGCACACGTGGAAGGAGAGAGCAGGGTTAATGGGTCTTCTTAGTTTCCTGGAAATAGCAATGGTATTACAGTGGAAGGACTCCTGTTTTTTGTTGTGTATATACGCGGGACAATCTTTCTTACCCAAGGAAACCTTTCAGCATTGCAGTCTACTTTCGTTCCAACTCTTTTCTTAGCTTCCATTCACCCTTTTTTGTTTTTTTTTTTTGAGTTCATAAAGTGCTCAGTTGACTCAAATTTAATGTCAACGTTTGATTATTAGAAAGCTTGTGGAAGAATACCATATAGACTACAGAGAAATTGAATTGCTCCATTTGGGTTGGTTAAATTTGTCTTGTTCTTGTGAGCAATCCAATTGCGATCGAGGAAGAAATGAGGTTGGTTGTTTTGATCTCTTCTCTGTTGTGATCTGTCATCATTTCTTATTGCAGCATAGAATTTCTTCAATTCTTGGATGATTATACATTCATAACTGCTCACTGAAGCATAAAAATGGCTTCTTGGGATGGGAGTGAATTCCACTTTTTCTTTTTCTTGCTCAATTTAATAATCATCATCATCAGAAGTTTCCCGTCTTGTTCTTAAACTTTTTTTTGGGTGCTTAGGTCTCAGGACTCAAGTTCAAGGAGACGTTATGATTTGGAACAACAAAGTTTTTCAGCTAATGGATTACCCCATCAGACCAGCACAAAACCTAGTTGCAGTGCAGGTATGATTACTGCTATGAGGAAAAGATTCAGGATGAAAGCATTGGAGGGGTCACTCAATTCCCGTCCTACAACCCAAATTGATGGCAGAATGAGAGAGGAGAAATCTTTTGGTTCTCAGGGTACATTCCTTCTGCAATGGAATAAGATTGTTTTCATCTCCTGCATTATTGCAGTGTCCCTAGATCCCTTGTTCTTTTACATCCCTGTAATTGATAACAACAGGAAGTGTCTTGATATGGACAACAAATTGAAGATAATAGCTTGTGTTCTTCGTTCAATAATGGACGTATTCTACACCATTCACATACTCCGGCAATTTCACACTAGACATCTTGGTTCATCTTCCCGAGCATTTGAGCGAGTTTTTCTGGTTGAGGATTCTTGCGCTAGAGCTAAGCGATTCTTGTCTTCTTGGTCTATTGTTGACATACTAGCTGTTCTTCCCCTTCCTCAGGTAAACTCATCAGATCATGCAAATCCAGATTCACATTTTTCTTTTTGTCATACTACTAATATATGATGCTGGTGTGCAACTTAGTTTGTTTACCTTCCAAAACTCTTGATGTTTCCAGGTGGTGGTTTTAGTTTTAGCCCCAAAATTACATGATGCAGCTTCATTGGATATGAAAAAACTGTTGGAGATAGCTGTACTCTTACAGTATGTTCCAAGACTCGTTAGGATATGTCCGTTGTATAAAGAAGTAACGAGAAAATCTGGGCTATTTGCTAAATCTCCATGGAGTGGTGCTGCGTGCAATCTGTTTCTCTATATGCTAGCAAGTAATGTACGTTCCTCCGCCTAAGTATGCATGTGATCCTTATAAATGCTAGCACTCAGCGGTCATTGTTCTTTTACACGTTCATTAATTCCTATTCTGCTACATTGTAAACTTTACAAATGTGTTTCTACTGCATATGCAAATACACATACAAATCAAGTTTATCTGAAGAAGAAGAATCAGGCATTTGTCTTCTCAAACTTGTTAGTCAGATTTGTGACACAGCTAACAGAAAGGACATATTCTTCTCTTGGAAATTTCACGGTTTAGTTGGAAACACTCTTTTCTGGAATTTCTTATCCCTCTTTATTTCTTGTTGTAGGCTAGTAATCCATTAATGTTGTGTTTTTCTATCCAAACAAAAATAGATCATTGCATGATTACTGCGCTTTTAGAAATCTAGGCTGGTAATAATTCTGTGATGGTAAATGCATGAAAGGGTCTGATTTTTCTAGATGGAATTGTAGATTCCAAACTAACTTGTGGTTGTTTCTTCTGCTATTTCATTTCGTAGTGATAACTTCAGAAGTCCTTTGTTGTGACCTTTACTGTTTCCTCATCCAATATTTTAGGAAGTCATAGCCCTGCATGTGTTCATTAATTTTATCCTGACGCTGATGGCAAATTATTATGACAGGCACTCGGAGCATTCTGGTACTTGTTAACAATAGAGCGTGTAGATTCATGCTGGCGCGAATCCTGTGCTAAACATCATTGTGATTATGATGCTTTGAACTGTGGAGTATCGCGTTCAGGAGACTACTCATTTCTCTACTCTTCTTGCCCTCTGCTTGAACCCAATGAAATTAAACACCGAAAAGATTTTAATTTCGGCATGTTCCTTGAGGCTCTTCAGTCAGAGTTAGTAGAAAAGCATATCTTTTGGAAGAAGTTCTTCTATGGCCTCTGGTGGGGCTTGCGAAATTTAAGGTTTGCCCTCAGAAGTCAGAATGCTATAATGATTAGTTTCTTTGTTATCTTGGAACAGTAGTGTATTCCTCCTTGGCATCTAACTGAAAATATTCCACGTCTTCCACCACTGCAAGATTGCTTGTGAGCTTAGACTTTGATGATTAAGCTTTGACTGTTTGATTAGGAGTTGAGAAGGTCATTAATACGATGTATAGCTGATCTATTTCCTGGATTCCACAGATAGCTTGAGAGTGGTGCATTCAGATCAGGAAACCAAAACCAAAAGCCCTTCTCGAAAGTAAAACAAATCAAAGAACCTATTTGTTACTTTTCTGCTAGTTTGCTAATTTGCTTCATTCCCATATCTATAAGGTGACTTCAAATGAAGTAGCTCTCAAGGGTTATTTTAAAATGATGTCGGAATGTCAATTTTGTCTAAGATCACCATCTATCTATGTACATGCAACTAGTCAGCAATGCTTCCATTTATTTTGTTTAACTAGGAGATAATATTTGTTTTCTGTTTTTTCGTACCTTTTTCAGTTCCCTGGGACAAAATCTAAGGACTAGCAATTCTGTCGGGGAGTCTCTCTTGGCTATCTCTATTTTAATCGCAGGCTTGGTTCTGTATGCATTGCTCATCGGCAACATGCAGGTAAAGCTTGCAAGATATTTTGTTTCGGTCCTTTATTTAGTTTTCATCTGCATTCAACTTTGTCATAATCTGCAAGACTGGTTTTGTGTAGATCTTCCCCAAAACTTGAAGCTTCCTCAAATCAAACACATCAGTTATACATCAGTATCTAACTTTTAGTTTGTTCACAATCCTGTTTTTGCAGAAATATTTGCAGCCTATCAGTGGAAAAATAGAGGAAATGCAATCAAATAGGCGGAACAGAGAAATGTTAGAGCACTGGATGTCGCGTCGTATGCTGCCTGAGAATCTTAGGCGCCGAATTGTAAGTTACGAAAATTATAAATGGCAGGAAACCAGAGGTGTTGAAGAAGATGCCCTGATTAAGAACCTTCCAAATGATTTGAGGAGGGATATAATCCGTCATCGCTGGGCTTTACTAGCAGCTGTAAGTTTTCCACTTTGAATGCACTGCATTCTGAACTCACTGAGAGTCTTTTGTCTTCCTCTGTCGATCTTCTTTGTCCAAACTGGTTCCCTAAAATAGAGTTAAATCCCTTATAGGTGCCCATATTTGCAGAAATGGATCAATGTTTTCTGTATGCTTTGTGTGATCGTCTAAAGCAAGTCTTCTACACCAAGTACACCTACATATATCACGAGGGTGATCTGGTAGATGAAATGCTCTTTCTCACATGTGGTGATGTACTGAGCATGACCACCACTGTTGGAGGGATCAGCTTCTTCCCTCCTGTTCGTTACAAGCGTGGTGATTTTTGGGGAGATGAGCTTCTAGCATGGGCCTTATATCCCTCTAGCTCTAGCCTTCCAATTTCAACCAGAACAGTCCAAGCAATGGATGATGTTGAAGCTTTTGCTTTGAGGGCTGAGGATCTGAGGTTTGTAGCCTCCCAATTCCGACATCAACTCAACAGTGAGCAGGTCCAACATATTTTCAGGTTAGCTGTTCAACTATCAATTTCACCGCACTCAAAACTGCACTTTTTTTGTTACATATTCTCTTATGTCAAATATTTCTAGCTCTGTACTGTCCTTCACCAGAATTGGTTGTGGTGCTTAGGATGAATGTATACGTAATGCCTCCTTAATGCATCATCTCAACCTACTCTTCTAAAGTGTTGCCGTGTATGTTTCATCAGTTCTAACTTATTATGTTTGTCTCAGGTTCTACTCCCAGCAGTGGAGAACATGGGCAGCTTGCTATATACAAGGATCATGGCACCGTCATAAGAGGAGAAAACTTGAGAAGTCCTTAAGGGAGGAAGAAGAAAAATTACAGGGTGCCTGGCCGCCGCCACCATGTATGCATCTCAATTTGCATCCAGTTCACTACTCGAAATTCACAGCATATGATGCGTAAATGTCTTATCGACTCCACAGTTTCATCAGAAACCAAAAGAACCTGATTTAGTGATACCACTAGTTTGTTTTGTTTTTTAAATGTATATTTTTAGGTGTTTTTTGTATTGGGAATATAAAAAGGTGTATTGAACATGTAAAAAGGTATACTGGGATAGAACAGTTAATAATAATTTAATTTAAAAATAGTACCATCAAGAAAAGGAAGCAAACAAAGCCTAATTTGTCGTTGAAAAAAGCAATAGAATCACTTGTTTTGAATTTTGGGTTGAGAGTTGAGACTTACTAGAATTAATGGGCGAGGTGATAATGGTACAAGTAACATGCAGGGAGATTTTAATGATCTTAGATAATCCTCCTGCCTTTTGTGTTCATTGTTTTGGGCATCAACTTCAACTTACAATTGTTCCTTTCCAAAAAAAAAATAAAAATAATTACATTTATTGTGGTGGCTAAAATTCATCTTGAAATGCTTTTCTTTAATATGGTTGTCACTGTGGTTAGAATTATTGGAAGCTCAAGTAAAAAAGCATGATATGTTCCGAGAAAATAAATAAATAAATCGCTGATATTAGAAAGTACTTGGAATCAAAGATAAATCAAGAATGTTGACTTAAAAGGCCAGGAGATACTCGTCGGGGTTCAAGCAATACAACACATTGATGAGTCTAATAGTGAGAATTTTTCAGTTGTGCTTGATGTTTATAGAATGGAAGATGGTTATCTTTCAGAACTAAAGACTCAAGTTGCTGGCTTGTTGGATTCTTTGCGAACTTTTGATTTTCCTTTCAAGTTGCATCTCATAAAAAAATGTACTGGGGACAACAAATGAGCTTGCACATACATAATTCAAAAAATAAAAATCAAGATATTGTTCATATCATAAAGATTAAAATGTCCAAAGGTCCCTTACATTTGGCCTTATGTGATTTTATGTCGCTAACATTAACATTTCAATATCGTAGTCTCAAACAATATGTTTTAACACTTTTTTTTTTATCCCATTTCACTGTTTCGACCACTTCTCCGTCCGACTCGATGTTGACCGGCAGTTGACATGCCGGAATCAGGGGTATTTTTGTCTTTTTATATAATTTAAATTTTCATTAAAATTTAAATCATTAAAAATATTATAAAACTCCACATTTATTTTTTAATTGTTAAAATATTATTTATTAATTTAAAATATTATTTTAAAATTTTAATTATTTTCAAAGTTACTTTTTTCTTACTAAAATAAATGTTAATTATATTGCACTTTTAACCGTCCACTGTAACTTTAAAAATTTACCGAGTCACAATAAATAATTCAAAATTCACATTAAAAATAAAACAAAACAAAACCTAGATTTTTGACTTTGACAGCTACAATAAATCTTGAGTTATTTCTAAAATTTTACCGCGCTATAATAATTAATTAAAAATTTAAAAATTTTTAAAAAAAAAATGCAAGAAAATTGTGGGGTGAAGATTTGGATAAAAAATGGTTTGTTTAAGTTTTTGGCTTAGTTATTGCCTTGAATTAAAGATATAATTTAAAATGTGATCTTAGTGAAAATTCAAAAAGTTGTTGGGATAGAAATTCAAATAAAATAATATTATTTTTACACCACCACCTCCACACCTCCACCGCCGCTGCCGGCTGTCGGATCACCTCTTGCCGGTCGCCGGCCGGATTCTTGCGAAATCCCGGCGAAGTCGGTCGCCGGCTGGCGGCGGTCCGGCTGCTGCAGGAGGTGATCCGACAGCCGGCGGCGGTGGTGGAGGTGTGGAGGTGGTGGTGTATAGATAATATTATTTTATTTGAATTTCTATCCCAACAACTTTTTGAATTTTCACTAAAACCACATTTTAAATTATATCTCCAATTCAAACTATAAATTAAAATAAACCATTATTTATTCGGATTTTTGCCCCCTCAATTTTCTTTCCTTTGGGCCCGCTGGATTTTTTACTTCGACCGAATAAAAAATTGGTAGGTGAAAATTCAGATAAAAAATTTAGTTTACTTTTTCTTTTTAAACAAAAAATTAAATTTTGAATTAGTTACTGTAGCGAGATAAAATTTTTTAGTGATATGGAGTTAAAAATGGAATGTAATTAATATTTATTTTGTATCCAGCATAAATGATAAATAGAAAAAGAAATTTTTGAAAAATAATGTAAGTTTTAAATTTTATAATAACATTTTAAATTAATGAGTAATATTTTAACAATTAAATAATTAAATGTGAATTTTATGATATTTTTAATGATTTAAATTTCAATGCAAGTTTAAATTAAGTCAAAAGACAAAAATACCCCTGATTCCGAAAAGTCAACTACCGGTTAACATCGAGTTGGACGGAAAAGTAGCCGAAATAGTGAAATGGGACAAAAAAAGTGTGAAAATATAATGTTTGGGACTACGATATTGAAATGTTAATGTTAGGGACGTAAAATCAAGTAAGCCCAAATGTAAGGAACCATTTTGGACATTTTAGCCTACCATAATACAAGCTAATTAAAGTTTGAAAGGAACGACTACAATTGACGAGGAATGATGGTTGGCTACTTTTACTTGATGAGTATATGATATTTCGCAATCGTTCATGATATTGAAATTCCCTACTTGAATGAGGCAAAGTGTTACCAATGTGCACCACTACGAGTTAAGTTTATTTAATGAAGTTAAGGATACGCAACAAGAACTTAATGATCGTTTCACATGAGAAAATGCCAAATTACTTCTTTCTATGGCTTGTCTAGAAAATCTGTTACGTGCTTTTGACAAGCAAAAGTAGCTTCATTTTGCTGAGCTTGTACATCTGATTTTCAGCATATATTGAAAGTTTGGCACTAGCTAATCAACTTGGCTTTGTCTAGTAAAGCTTCTGCTGATTTGAAGGCAATAGAAAATGTTGGAAGGAACTTACTTTCCATTGGTATATAAAAACTTATAAAGCTCCCCCCCTTGTTTTGCCTGTGGCTACTACCAGTGTGGGAAGAGCATTTCAGTCATGGAAATTGTTAAAAACTGACTCTGGAACCGAATGGGAGACTACTGACTGAAAAAATATTACCACATTTCCAAAATATGAGTAGTGGTAGGAATCAAAATAGCTCTTTTTGTTTTTTGCCTCCGTTTCCTTTTACAGGCTTTTACTCCATACAACTTCTACCTTCTGCCAGAACTCTTTTCTCTTTGCCGACTAGGCCACCATTGTTCATCAATGTGATAATGCTTCCATCGGCAAATATTTTGCCTCACCACAGCCCAGGGAACCTGGTTTTAACTCGATGACAACACAGTGCCCTTGAAAAATTGCATCAATGCGAAGGGTAGCTAGGTCAGTCGACATCCATTAGCTGCTTATCATCTTCTCCATCGCTGCTAGCAGACCACAACTTGATGGTACGATCATGTGAGACAGTTGCAATACACTGACCATCTGTAATTAAAAGCAATCATCAGTCATCTCAACGCAAAACAAACACGAATTGAACATGTCTCACAATTACCACAAGCAATACTCCAGATCAAAACAATTCAGAAACAGGCACATTATTCTTTTTCTGGTGATTAAAAAATGAAAATGGAATTATGCCATGGGAAAGAGAACGAAATAGCAAAAGAACTTAAAAGGTATAACAAGAACAAAGTGTTTGGTTGCTTTAACTCGGTATTGGTAATCTTTCGTGAGCAGTACGTTATGTGCTTTAAGTGCAATCAAATAAATCAAGTAGATTTTAGTTACTACAATCCAGAATTCTGATATAACAAGCGCAGCGAGCCTCAGGTAATAATTAGGCAGGAATGACATCTTTGCACCAGTCGTAAAAAATATTTAAGGTTCTGGAAGCAATAATATCATAGGAATTTCCAATTGATAAAAATCTAAATTTAATAAATTTAGAGAGAGAGAGAGAGATTAAAACACACCTCCTACAATATCCAGTGATGTGACTTTCCCTTCATGCCCAGATAATGTCTTGACTGGCTTAAAATCTTTTGATGACCACACCTGGTGATAACATATTAGAAAGTAAATCTCACGTGCATGAAAGAACATAATAGAGTTTCAGCTGAAAGACTAACAATAGAATACAACAAGAACTTCATAAAAAGCAGTTAGGTAAGTGTAATACCTTGGCTGTTGTATCATATGAACCAGTAACCAAGAAATAGCCTTCTTGAGGTTCGAATTTTACTTGAGATATAAGATTTGAGTGAGCTGGTATTACGTAAAGTGATTTTTTCTTTCTTAAATCCCAGATACGGCAAGTATTATCTTCACCACCAGAAGCCAAATGATAGCCGTTGGGGGAGAAACTGACACCATATACCTAAAATTGCAAAGAACAACCCCATCATTTGAGCACACTAACTACTAGAACGGAATTTGGGAAAACCAAATAATGTCAAAGGCAAAAATCTTACCGGCTTAACATGGCCTTCAAAGGCAAGAATACTTCTCCCAGATCTCAAGTCCCATACTCTAACTAGCGCATCGAGTCCACATGATGCTACCAAGGCACCGTCACTTTGGAAAGCTATTCCATACACACTTCTACTGTGTCCTTCTTGGAGAAGTAACTCCACACCTGTCTCAACATGCCATAGCCTCCAAGTCTTGTCAAAGCTAGTTGTCCCCAAGTATTTGCCTGATGGATGAAATGCAATACGAGCAAGACGATCTAAATGACCCTGGTATGTGTTCAAGAGAGCTCCTTCTTTGTTCCACAGTCTTGCTGTCCTATCAGCAGAGGCCGTTGCAAGTTGGTCCCCTGTGGGAGAAAATGCAACATCTGTAGCTCGCTCCGTGTGACCCTTTAACGCGGCAATTCTGTTTGGCTTCGGCATGCTCCATATCCTTGCAACTCCGCTCAGAGAACTAGTGAGAAAAACAAGAAAGAAACAATACAAGGAATCAACCAACTGTTACAATAGAAAGAATTTACAAAAATACAGCATGTTATTCCATAATGAACTAAATACAAGAAAAAAAAAAAGGCCAATCAGAATAAAGAGTCAATGATGTACATGAAGCATTGTGAAATAATTCATGCAGAGACACGACGAAGAAAAGTATAAAACAGCAAGTAGCCAAGCTACAGAAATAATCAAAATACAATATCTAAGATATGGATTAAAAGATGGCAAGCTCAACAGAAAGTTACACTCGATGCAACAAACATTAACTACATGCAAGTTTTTACCACGATATTTCTATGCACAAAAGCGCATAATTTAATTCATCTAGGAATAAATAGGTCAAGGCTTTCAACATAAACCATCAAGGCTATCACTCTCAACATAATGTCACTAAGACCATCTAAACAGAATATATCAAAGCTTAATTATACAACTATCTGCATTGATTTTTCATTTATCTTAAGCATTCTTCCTGGCATTCCCAACATACATGTGCAGTGTTAATACATTAAAAAATCACAAATTAGAGTACAAGAAAATCATTTATGTACATTTCCTTGCATTGTTTAGCAAATTCTAGAAAAAGGTTAGACTATAAAACTCGAAATTTAAACCACGGATAGCTGGCAAGATATCCACACAAACAAACAAACAAACTGAATTCCACATTTGTTCTCTAACATCAAGGTATGCATGCAAAGTGCAACTACAGTCAATTCATAGAGAGAGAGAGATACCAGGTGGCAAGCATACTTCCATCGTGTGCAAATGAACATCCAGAAAGAGGCCTATCATCTCCAAATTCACTGAAATCAAGGGTCAAGCTGCTGGCCTGTTTCAATGCCCAATCTACCTCTGCATCCAAGTCTTCATCCGGATCATCTCTCCTTCTCTTAGCGCGGTGCACACGTAAAGCGGCCTTGACAATGGAATACCTTGCAATATCTAATCGAGCCTCACGAAGCGCATTCGATCCTTCAGTGTAGAAGGGGTACTGAATTTCTTCCTCAGGTCCCTCGGACAGGGCGGAAGGAGGACCAGCTTCTTCGTCCTCGTGAGCCTTCATCAGCTTCTCCAACTGGCCTTCAGAATCGAGGCTCACCATAAGGTTTCGCAACCGTTCTCGCCTTTCCATTTCCCGCTCTCCAAAGAGCGTAATGGGCTCACCAAGTCGACGCAGACGGGTTCGCACTGATAAGTCGTTCGTAGGCACAGCAAGAGCAGCGGCCCGTCTCCTATTAAGAAGCTCTTGCACTGCTTTCTCGTGCCGCTCTCTGGCCAATTTACTTTCCTCTGAAATCTCATAATCAGCGGAAGACCCTGCATCTCGTGTAGGCCCTGATTCATCCTCCGAATCAGAATCGCTGACCATTGCCTCTCCATTTTGAGCAACTGGGGCCCTAAGCACAGGAGGAGGAGGAACAGGGATGGGTGCCAAAGGTCGAGGGATTGGAACAGGAATTGGAGCAATAGTCGGTAGCACTGGAGGCGGCGGGATTGCAGGGGGAACAAAAGCGGAACCTGGAATGAGCAAAGAACCACCAACATCAGAAACCCCGGTCTGATTGTCACCATTAACTGGAACCTCTGCGACTGAAGTTGAAACCGAATTGTCCTCATCTACATCCATTTCTGTGGTAAAAAAAAGGCGCAACAAGATCAGTGAAGTGATGTACAACTATTTTTACAATCAATTTTCAGCCTACAAAGAACAGTTCAACAAAGGGGCGGAACAAAAAAGAAATTAGGGTTTATGGGTGTGTATCTATGAAGTGCACGTCAAAAAATTAGTCAGGCCTAATTGCTGAAGATTCTTGAAAAGAAAAGATTGCAGGTATTGTTTAACATTGAAAAGCATTGTGTAATTGATACCTGAAAGTCGACGGCAGCAGCGGCGCTGTTTCCCGGCGTAGAAAAGAAGAAGAAGAATCAGACTATTTGTTTTTCCGTTTTTTCCTTGGTAGTAGAAATCAGACGATTTTAATTCTGGAAGTAAAAAACACCTCCAATTTCTTTACTTATTGTCGAAAGAAAGTGACAAACCGCATATGTAGTTTATTGAATTTGTCTCCAAAGAATTTATTTTCAATTTTAAAAGATTTTGAATTAAACCCATTTGTTTTAGTTTTTTTGTAATTCTAACAATGTTTTTTCCTTAATTACAAATCAAAAACCAATTATGCATTTTCAACCTTTTAAATTTAGACTTTCACTTATTTAAAAATTTAAGATGATGTTTTTTTATACGTAAAAATGTATGTGAAAGATAAAAGTGAGAATCAAAAGAAATCAATTTTCTTTTTGATAAAAAAATGTGAATATTTGATTAAAAAAAAATGTGAATACAATTTTATTGATAACAACCCTGTTTGTCATACTTACAAAGTCACTTGTATCACTCTCCTCTATATGATCTATTACATAATGTCCTATTCTATCACTTTACATTAAAAAATCATTTGGCAATTAAGTGTTGTTCCATAATCTTTTCCTTTTGACTAGTACAAAATCTAACTCTGATACCAACTACTTCCTTAATCAGATTGTATATTATCTCCTCAGTTCTAGATTTACCTTCAAAAATTCTCTTATTCCTTTTTCCCAAATATTATAAATGCACATGATTACTGCATTAAGGATTTTCTTTTTTGTTACAGCTCCTTTACAAATATGTTTCATTTCTGTCATCAATTTGATTGAAACTTTAAAAAAAAAATTACAAGAAAAAATAAGATTCTCTCTCTTCTTCGTTATCTCTCGGTACGCATCTTGCGTGCCTCGCCATGGCAAGGAACACGAGGAAGAATCAAAGCAAAGTAGTGGTGGAGAACAAGGGGACGAGTGAAAACACGAGTGTGGAAAGGATTAATCTTGAATCGGGGAAACGAATTGTTGAATTGGAATCTCCAATTGATTTGGGGAAAGGGGCGAAGAACTCGAACCCTAATTTGGGTCGGTAGAATCGCAATAAGACTAGTCTTGGAGTTCAACGAAAGCTATCCTGGGCAGAAGAATTGAAAGGCAAGCATGGTCAGGATGTTTAGAAGAAATTCGATGTCTCTAAACTTAGAAATGGCATATCAAAATTGGAGTTTGCGCAACCGCAAGAGGTGAATGGTAACAAGCTTTGGCAGATTCAGCAGTTAGATGTGGAAATTGAAACTCAATTTTGGGAAACCTCGGCGGCAAGCTTTGTGCTGGGCTCAAATCCCCCCTCATAGTGATGAACAAGCACTTTCGGAATCTATGGGGTCATCTAGGGGTGGACAAGGTAATTCTGCTTCCATCAGGCTTGTTTGTTGTTCATTTTACAAGTATGCATGCTAGAGAGACTGTACTGAGTCATAATGATTATCACCTGTGTAGTAAGCCGATAATAGTGAAACCATGGACTGTAGAAAAAGGTATCAATTACAAGGAAGTTCATAGAGTATCAGTATGGATCCAATTAAGGTGTTTGGAATTGAAATATTGGCATAGCTCTTCGCTCAGTAGGATTTCTAGTTCTATAGGCATTCCGATTACAACAGATGATGCTACAGCACATAGAGAACGAGTGAATTATGCTAGATTGTTTGTGGAAGTGGAAATTGAGGAAAATGTTAAGGATAAGGTGTATTTCATAGATCAACATGGTACTGTTAAGGAACAAAGAGTTGATTATGAATGGTTACCAGTTCAATGTGAGTGTTGTAAAGGATATGGCCACCTTATTGAAAAGTGCAGATTGGATGTTAAGAATCAAACTCAGAAAGAGGGAAAAGAAGTACATGGAATGAATAGATATGTCTCTGCTGGAAAGAAAAAAATTGAGGAATGGAGGAAAGTATACCAAAAACCACAGAAGCAAATCCCAGTGCAGCCTATGGTAGAGGCTATCAAGCAAAGTAGAATTACAGTGGAACGGTTGAGTAAGGATGCTGGTATACTAAAAAAAGCAAGAACTGTGGGAGAAGTTGTTTAGCAGAGAAGGAACGTCTAAGAAGTTTGAAACAAGTGAAGGAGAGACTAAAACAGACAATCTTGACCCTGATCCAGGAATCAATGAGTAGCCTCCTTACTTGGAATATTAGGGGCTTAAATGCCCCTAAGAAGCAGAAGGAACTATATAGAGTTCTTTCTGCAAATAAAGTAGACATGGCACGCATAGTTGAAACCAAGTTAAATAAAGAAAAAGGAGTTGAAATAGTACAGAGATGGTGGGAAAATTGGAGGAGCTATACAAGTTATGATAGAAAAGATAAAGGCAGAATTACATTGCTTTAGAGTGATGCAAAGGAAGTCCAGGCAGTCAGTTCCACACAACAAATGATACATTGCAAAGTTCATTTTTTACAACTAGATTTTGGATTTTATTTTACTGGAATATATGCTTCGAATAATTGGCAGGAACGAGCTGAGTTATGGGATGGATTGATGGATATAAAAGACATAATTCAAGGCCCTTCGATTGTAACAAGTGGTTTTAACAATATTTTGAATCCAGAAGAGAAATGGGGAGGAAGAGAGCCTCTACTGAGAGAAATAGAATACTTTCGGATGTGCGTTGATGTATGTGGTTTCGAAGTTATGAGACAGGTTGGTTCTAAGTTCACTTGGTGTAATATGCAGTTGGGAGATGTTAGGATACTGTCAAAGCAAGATAGAGTTTTCATCAATGAGGACTAGATTTTACAGCAGAATGACTCATTAGCAGAAGTGTTAAATGCATGTGTTCTCATTTCACAATCCACTAGTGATCAGAATCAAAGAAGATATGGTGAAGAAGCATAGACCATTCAAATATTTTAACATGTGGAAGATGGATCCGGAATATCATAGAGTGGTCAAGAAGAGTTGGGCAACGCCTATTTTAGGAACTCAAATATTTCAGATTGTGAAGAAGCTAAAGTGCCTTAAACCTATGTTGAAGAAGCTTAACAAGGGCAGATTATCAGATATACAAACTAAAATGCAGAAAGCTCGGATGGAATTACAGGAGATGCAAGATAAGTTAAAGGAGTCACCTGGTGATGTAGTACTCTAGCACTTGAGAGAGAAGCTCATAAAGAGTTCCTATACCTGAGTAAAGCTAATGAATTATTTTTAAGACAGAAAGCCAATGAAGACTGGTTGCAATAAGGTGATGTTAATACAACATTCTTTCATTCTAAACTCAGGAAGAAGATGATGAAAAACATGATATGGAGCATTACTGATGGAACAGGAGCAGTGATTAGGGACTGGAATCAAATTGAGGATTATTTTCTACAGTTTTATCAGAAGCTGTTGGGCCAAGCTTCTTGAAGAAGAATCAGTGATAAGGTTGTCTTTGAGATGGGACCAAAACTCTGGATAGAAGACCAAATGGAGCTGATAAGACTAGTTACAAGGAGAGAAGTCCAAAAAGCAATGTGGAGTATTCTTGGAAATAAAAGCCTAGGACCAAATGGTTATGGGACTGATTTTTTCAGAGCTTCATGGCGAACAATAGAGCAAGAGGTTACTGATACAGTGCTGGAGTTCTTTGAAACAGGTCAGAAGCTACGACAACTAAACACTATCCTTATTGCATTAATTCCAAAAGTAGAGAATCCAATCGATGCTAGTCAATACATGCCTATATCATGCTGCAATGTATTGTATAAATGCATTTCAAAAAATTTATGTGATAGGTTACATGTAGTTTTGCCTATGCTGGTAGATCAAAACCAAAGTGCCTTTGTAAAGGATAGGCTTGTCTTCCATAATATTTTAATTACGCAAGAACTCATTAGATTGTATGGTAGACAAAATATTAGTGGAAGATGTCTTATGAAAATTGACTTGCAAAAAGCATATGATTCCGTAGAATGTGAGTTTATAGAAAAATGTATGATAGGATACGGATACCCTGAAAAATATTTAAAATGGATAATGGTTGTGCTACTATGACATCATTTTCTCTTAGCTTAAATGGTATTACTGTAGGGTATTTTCAAGGTCAACGTGGACTTAGACAGGGAGATCATGTTTCTCCACTAACTTTTGTCCTTGTTATGGAGTATTTTACAAGACAATTGAAGATTGTAGCTGCAAACCCTAAATTTAGATTTCATCCCAAGTTTGAATCCTTGAAGATGATAAATATATGTTTTGCTGATGTTTTGATGGTTTTTTGCAAGTCTGATATATTCACTGTGAAAAGCAACATGGAAAAGTTTAAAGAGTCTTTGGAAACTTATGGACTTAGAGCAAATATAGGAAGTCGAATGTGTGTTATGGTGGAGTGTCCGAAAGCCTTAAGTTTCATATAGATGGATTACAAGTTTTAACCAAGGCATATTTCCCATGAAGTATATAGGGGTTCCATTGTCTCCAAAAAATGGACTCAAATGGAATGCCAGCAATTAAGGTCTCGTATAATTGCTCAAATTAGATGTTAGAGTAGCAGAAATCTATCCTATGCTGCTAGAGTTCAGCTGATCAATTCGGATTGACTGCATTTACATATATAATGGCCTGCTGTGCTTATCTTACCAAGAGCTGTCACTGATAGTATCAACAGGTATTGCAAAGAGTTCTTATGGGGAGTAAAAGACTCTAGTAAATGTTCATCACTGGTAAGTGGGAAGTAAAGTGCAGGAAGAAATCACAAGGTGGACTTGGCTTCAAAGATGCTAGAATTTGGAATGAGGTAGCCATCTTGAAGCAGGTGGTGGCTAGCTCAAGGAAAGAACAACTTGCGGGTTCGTTGGATGCATGAGATATATATAAAACATGGAAATATTTGGGATGTTAAAGCTAAACCTGATGGTAGTTGGCAGCGGAAAGCTATATTGAAAGTTAGAAACAAGGCCAAAGAAGCTTTTGAAGGTGGTAAGTGGAAGATGAATAGCACTGGAGTTTACAGAATCTCAGAAGGTTATTACTGGCTACTAGGTGATCAGGATACAAAATAGGAGTGCAGGTAGATTTGGTCTCGGATGAATGTTCCTAAGCATTCTTTTATAGCTTGGCTCTTCTGGAGTGGAA